TGGTGTTATTTTTTTTTGTGTGTTGTGTGTTATATAAGTAATAGAAATAATTATTGCTATAAGGAGTAGAAATAGGATATTAACATAAGAAATAAAATAGAAGAAATCATCACACTAAGCAATATGAAATGCTTGAAGAAAAAACAAGCTAAATTGCTAACAGGAAATAGTTAACAGGATGGGCCTTGACACTCTAACAAAGTGACTATGGATTTACTAACCAAGGAGGCTGAAACAGCTAATAAAGACTAACATATGCCAAGATATTTCCAGTCATAAAGAACAGAACTGACGGATGCAAAGTAACATATATCTCAAACTTCTCAGTAGAAGAATGGCTCGTAAGCAAGAACAGATGTTTAACAAGGACAAGAGCTGAGCAGGACTGGGTCAATTCTGCAAACTTGCCAGGTCACCACATTCCAGAGAAGAGGTGAAAAGTACATTACGAGGGAGACCCACGGCCTTCCTCCCAGAGACCACTGCCTGCATCTCGAAGACCCCTGCCCAAGATTACCAGGAGAAACTGTGCAAGCGTGAAGGACTGATGAGCTAATTATAATACGAAGCGAGGGTAGGCAGGGTTAGATAATGAATATGTATAGGTGTCATTTGAATATGTAGTATTTTACTGTATAAATATGAAATAATTTGCCACTTTGGGTATGCACGTCTGTGGTGGAACGATCCCCCGTGCATCTGCACGCAATAAACACACCTACTGTATAACCTTTGGGTTATAAAGTCTGTTTCTGCACGTCATGTGTTTGGTGTTTTGTTTGGTTTTTTTTTATCTCCATGGGACTTTCATGAGGATTCTCTACCTCTCCCCTTTTTCCCCCACTCCCAGTCTGTCCCAGTCTGTTCCTATCCCACTGGAGGGATGAGAAGATGCTCCAAGGGGAAGAAGATGCAAGGCAGGAGTTTAAAAGTCTTTGGGGAGGAGACTTAGGAGTGGTGAAGATAGTGAGAAAAAGCCTGGGGAGACTCTTGGAGCTGCCCTGGGAAAGCCTCTGGTGCTGTCATTGCAGAAGAGAAGCACACAGACAGGTGGCATCTGATCGTTTGCCTGAAACACCCTCTATTACCCCAAAAAAAAAGGACTGTGAGATGAGCTGGACTGATGCTGTTAGGATCCCAGTTCATTGCCTCATAGAAGGGATCATTTCTTTATTTCTCACCAAAATGGGGGTTGTTTGGCCCTGCTTGATGGGTGATACAGGAAAGATGGGTCCAGGCTCTTCAGGGAAAGGGAGAAATGGGACAGGGTGAAGCAAGGACAATTATCAGGAGATCAAGATCTATTTTAATTTTTATTGGGATATGTTTGGGTTTGAGTCAAGCCTCCCAGTTTCTCGTTGTCACCCTCACTGGTTTCTGCCTTCAAACTCTCCTGGAAATGTGTGCCTGGAGGTGCTCTGCATGGTCCTCATCTTTCTCTGAGTGTCGGAGACCTCTGGAGCTTGGGAGGCTCTTTGCACCATTTGCGATGGGCCCCCCCCCTTTTGCCCCAGTTGGAGAAAAAAAAAGGAATATAAAACCTATAAACTAATAAACGCTGCTGAAGCCATCTGCAAACCACCATCTTCCAGGTGAGCTGGCTGTGGGGATGGCTGGGGCGATTGGTGTGACTCCCTTCGGCATGCCAAGGATGTGGGAGGGTACTCCAGCCCCCTGACCACAGACACCATATGCCCAGGGAAGGAGAAGGTGGTCATGCTCATCATTGTGTACCCAAACATCCCAACCTGGGATTCACCTTGACCTGCTGAAGATGCATCCAACAAAGATGCTCAGGTGCAAGCCAAGCACGCAGGGAGAGGAATAAGCCTTTGTGGATCATGACGGTTTCCGTGCGGAAAGATGGGTCAAGAAGCACGTATGAGACCATGAGTCTACCATAAGCAGTATCAGTCACAGATAGAAAAGCTCTGGAAGGACAGTTCTTTTCCCTGACCTTCTACTATGACACGATCTCTTCCCATCCCAAATTTTTGCAAAGCTCTGCACAACGGCCAAAACCCATAATCATGGTGTAAACAACCTTCTGGACCAGTAAAAAGAGGAAGGGGCATAAGCAGTTAGCAAAGAGGAGGTAGAAATATTTCACTAACTCTTAGCAAACATCCACCACCAAGGTTGGATTCTGCCAGGGTATATGGGATGGTGGAAACCTCCCCATGCACCCATGTTGCAGGGCAAAGAACTTAACAACCAAGGGAATGTTCATCTTTGGATAAACCTCAACAAAAATCAGGTGTTTTGGATTCTTTCTGTAACTGGAGCATTAAGAAGCGGTTGTTGAATCTCAAGTTAAAACATCTATTCTAATTCTTAGATAGTTATACAAGTTGCGTTATTTCCTTTTTTCCCAATAAAACCAGCAAGAGCAGCTACCCCATTGCTGTCTTCCAGCCAAGCTGACCATGAGGTGGCCTCAAATCCAACCATTAATCCAGCACTGCAAGGTCACCACCACCATGGGACACTCGGCACCACGTAACATGGGGTCAATGGTAGCTTGTGGTTGCTGTCCTCTGAGAGGGGAATTATCAGGTGAAATTCAGGGATCTGAGGGTTTTTGAATCCTGTCGGGACACTGTCATTGGTGGGTGGCTGCAGATGGAGAATTTCTTCTGGGAGCACCATGTACTGCTGATCCCATCACCATCAATGTAGGCACATTGTCCCTCACCCCGCACGTACAACCTGCGGCAAGAAGACCAAGAGTTACCAACCTCAACAGGACAGTGGTTGAGCACCTCCTGTACAGGTTAATGGTGCACAAGGTACTGGGACCACCCTTCTGAGCAAACTTGCCCCACACAGACCAAGAATTCCACCAAGGAAGGAATGTTTTCAGATGTCTGGTCCTTCAACCCTCTGCCAGCGTCTGCATCCCACAAATCTACAGGCTGAGGGCCAAGTGCTTTGGCTCAGGCAAGAAAAGTGGTGTTTAATCGATCCCTAGTCATTCAATTTCTACATAAATGTGTCTAGTCACATTCAATCCCTGACCCAGCCCAGGCCAGGAGATGGTTACGTTCTCCAGAAGAAGATGGGACTTACAGGTTGTTGAGGAGAGACCCATTAAACCACTTCCAAGGTCCAGAGTCTTCCCTTCGGAGACCAACCCAGTAGTGCAAGGAACTCCCATAGCGCAAGAGGAAATGCTGGGAGGGGAAAAACCACCAAGTATCACACGTATCTTCACAATACATCCTCCACGAGGATCCCAAATACACTTCCTAAAGCCATCAAGACACCCTGACCTCAGGGATTTCTCATTTACCAGCTCTTCCCGGGTGGTGATGGTGGCCAAGTGGGCTCCAAGAGTCAGGCAGGAGATCTGACTCCTGTTCCAGTCAGCTTCGGCCTCCATGAAGTAGAAGCACTTCTCCCCGTACCCGATCCCGTTCTCCAGGCAGCTGAGGAGGACGGGAGAAGGGCAGGAGGGACAGGATGGATGTTTCTTAGCTGGAAAGAAGCAGAACACGCCCTGGTGACTTACGGGGATGTGTTTTCTCCAGAAGAGAAGGCCATTTTGGTGGTGAGCACCTCCAGCCTCTGGTGGGCACATGCATCTTCAGCTTCTTACCCGCCAGTGCAATGATGGCAAGAAGCAACCCAGCTACGACCACAGTGACCCCGATGGGGACCTTCTTCTCTTTAATGCACTTGAGGCTAAAACCTGTGGACAAAGCACATGGAAGAGACTTGGCTGGCAAATCCAAAAGCACCCTGAGCACCCTGCAGCCCTTGAAGGCATCACCCATGGCTTCCTTCAGCAGCAGTGGGTGCTTTTGATACCTTCAAATACAGCCACGGAGCATGTGGGGAGGCCACAGTGGGTGCAGGTGCAGTTCAGGGGTGCTTTCATCAGCCTTTGAATCACAGAATTCTTTGGGTTTGAAGAGACCTTTGAGATCATTGAGTCTAACCTTGCCCCAGAACTGCCAGGTCCCTACTAAACCATGTCCCTCAGTACAACATCTCCACAGCTTTGAAACCCCTCCAGGGATGGGGACTCCACCACTGCCCTGGGCAGCCTGGCACAGGCCAGGACAACCCTCAAGGGGAAGAAATTGTTCCTCAGGGCCAACCTCAATCTCCCCTGGGGTAACTTGGGGCTGTTTCCTCTTGTCCTGTTGCTTGTTCCTTGGGAGAAGAGCCTGAGCCCCCAACTGGCTCCACCTTCCTTTTGGGGATTTGTCAAGAGCCAGAAGGTCTCCCCTGAGCCTCCTTTGCTCCAGGCTCAGCACCTCCAGGGCCCTCAGCTGCTCCTCCCCACACTTGGGCTCTAGACCCTTTCTCAGCTTCATTATCCTTCTCTGGCCACGCTCCAGCCCCTCAAGGTCCTTCTGGGAGGGAGGGGCCCAAAACTGAATCATAGAACCATGGAATCACTATGGTTGGAAAGGACCTCTAGGATCATCAAGTCAAACCACCATCCCAATATCTCCCTATCCACTAGACCACAGCCTCAAGTGCTACATCTATGCATTTTTTTAACTCCTCCAGGCACGATGACTCCACCACCTCCCTGAGCAGCCCATTTCAGTGTCTAACCACTCTCTCAGTGAACAAATTCTTCCTAATATCCAATCAAAACCTCTCCTGGCGCAACTTGAGGCCATGTCCTCTCATCCTAACATCAGTAATTTTGGAGAAGAGACCACACCATCCTCACTACAACCTCCTTTCAGGGACTTGTAGAGAGCAATAAGGTCTCCTCTGAGTCTCCTCTTCTCCACACTAACCAACCCCAGTTCCCTCAGCCAGTCTCCGAAAGGGATGTTTTCCAGCCCTCTCACCAGCCTCACTGCTCTTCTCTGGACCCGCTCCAGCACTTCCATGTCCTTCTTATCCTGGAGTGCTCAAAACTGGACACAGGACTCAAGG